TCATAGTTGAGGTCTACCTATGATGTCAATTACAGGCCTCTCTCATCTTTTTAAGTGGGAGAACTTGCACAATTGGTGACTGACTAAATACTTATTTTCCCCACTGTAAATGGATTAAATTAAAAAACGACGGTGCTCCTGAGGAGGCATATTTAGAAGATTGCCAGTCAGCCAGCAAAAGGGGACTGAACAAAATAGTTTCCTTTGTGTTGTATATAATGCATAGCAGGTTAGACTCTCATAGTGGTCTAACAACAATTCTTTGAACGTTAATTTAAATATATATATAGTAGTTCCTGCTCTTTTTCTTACACTCAACCAATTACAGCGTCCCCTGATTCTAATCTGTATACACAGGTATCAAGCCAAAGTTACATGGATTCCTATCCATATAATATTAAAAATAATTAGGCTATTCATTTGTTTTCTTCCGTTTAACTATTAATCATTATTTAATTATTGCGGTTCATCCTTAAAATATGTTTTGTTTGCATATGCCGGGGGCCTTTTTATTTTTATTTTTTATTTTTGCAAATAAAAAATGCATATTATATTTCTTTGAAACCATATATTTACGTCATTAAATCGTAATCAGTGACCTCCACTTTCTTATTGGTTTAGCAGATGGCACGTGATTTTTCTAGAACGCTTCGCCTCCAATCATGTCCAAGCTGTCGACCGGACGTTTACTGGTTGCTGTTTTGATTTGGATTCCTTCATGGCAGATTGTCATTGTGGTGTGTGAGCCGAGCCTTTAGCTGTTGTTGATAACATGATCGCCCTTTTTAATAAGTTACACTCCCGATGGTTGACTTTCACCCTCAGGCATCCGCGGACAGCAGCTACGGCGGCTCCCAAGGTAAGGTGACATTTCTGTTTCGCCTTTTGCGCATAAACACACTGTCGTCTGAAAAATGCTAAATATGAACTAAAATGCTTCCTGCCGTTGTCCAGATAGACACCACCAAAGAATGAATCATGGTGATTTGTGTGCACCACGTTTTAGATTTATGACAAAGCCGGTTATTTGTTGAGTTTTACTAGTTTTGCAAATAATCCCAGGAGTTTAGGACCTTTTTCTAAGACGAGGTGTGTTTCAGTAGACAAAAATTGCCCTAAAGAGTATCTTTATTCAAAATATTACTAAAGTATGACTCATGGGGTATGGTGCTACAAAACTACAAGAGGTAAAAGTGTTAGATTTACTGTTGTGGTTTTTTAAAAGTTATTTAAAGGTCAGTCTTTACCACCCACAACTGGCATTGAGTCATAGGGCCTCTATAAATTAACAGGAAATGATTGACGATGACTAAAATTAGAAAATCATGTAGAAAAGATTTGAAACAATCAGAACATAAACACTGATTTGGAGATTAATGAACTGACTCATAGATGTGTCACAGATGAATTTCAGCGATACACTGAAAAAAGTAAATGGGTAATCCAATTTTTTCCTGCTGTACATCCTCCTGTTTTCTCCTTTCTGTTGAGTTTTTATTGCTTGTAATGAATTCTATTGAAACACAACAAAGGTTTGGACATATGGTGACATGTAGCCCACAATACATGTCACCATGTTCTCTTCTAATAAGAGAAAATGAGTAGTTTTAAAAGTAACAACTTAGAACCTGTTTTTTTTTTTTTTACGATTGAATCGTGAGACCACAGGAGGCAAACTCCTTGCTGTCTTTTTAAGTGTTACCAGCAGAGGGTGCTATCTACAAAGTAAGTAATTTTGTAGGTTGAAAAAAATGGGTCAAAAATAGTGGGGGGAAAATATTGCATCTCACATAATAAGTAGGTGAAATAAATATTTTGTGTAACTGTATATGAATTATGTGGTACAAACCTTCCCTCTGTGGTAAAGAAAATAGTTTTTATTGTATAGTCAACCATTGGAGTGTGAACATGTTTATATATATATATATATATATATATATATATACACACACTGCTAAAAAGAATAAAGGGAACATTTCACTTTAATTTTGTGTGTGGCTCCAAATCCAGGCCTCCATTGGTTAATACATTTGATTTCCATTGATTTTTGTGTGATTTTGTTGTCAGCACATTCAACTTTGTACCGAACAAAGTATTCAATGAGAATATTTCATTCATTCAGATCTAGGATGTGTTATTTGAGTGTTCCCTTTATTTTTTTGAGCAGTGTATATGTGTGTGTGTATATATATATATATATATATATATATTTTTTTTTTTTTTGCTGATGGTGGTGACTTTTTTTGGCCAGACTGCATAATAGCTGAGAACTTAAAAACTGGTCAGCCTCCTGCAGGCTCCTCCTCTCAGTGGCATCTGCACCGATTTTAAAGCCTGGCCTTCTTTTAAGACATTTTCTCTAAATGAGTGTAGTCAAGCAGCGATTGTTTTGGCAAATTAAAGGAGTTTTCACACATCAACAATCACGTGTTTGTGTATTTTTCTGAATCTCCAGGTTAACCTGTCCACAGCCCCTCCAAAGCCCGTCATTCCATCCAAGAAGCCCATAAAGGTGGAGCTTGTTGGAGGAAAACGCTACTCATGGTGCTCCTGTGGATACAGTAGGAAACAGGTGAGAAAATCTTAAAAAAAACAAACAAAAAAAAACAGTTTATCTTGTTTATTTGCGTTTTTCTGTTTTGAAGCCGTTCTGCGACGGAACCCACAAAACCAAAGCAGAGGGAATGAAGGGGCTTCGCTTTGTACCGGAGAAAGACTCCACGGTGTGGCTGTGTGGATGCAAGCACACCAACAACTCACCTTACTGCGACGGCACGCACAAGCAGGACTTCATCGTGTCTGCTCCGCTGCATGAGTGCACAAACTGATGAAGGCGAAGAACCCTGAGGACAGAGATGTCTCCGAACTGAGTCGGTGGGAGAAACATTTTAGACAAAACGGCATCGGGACAAATTGTTTCTCGTTTAAATCAGCGGGACATGCTGCCAGTAAACTAAACGGTGATCTAGGTTTCCACTCTTAACTTTGGAGACGAGTGATCTTACAGAAATAAAATTATTGTTCTTGAATCCGTTTTTTTTTTTTTTTTTATTCTAATTTAGTTGGGTAAGGTTTGTTTCTTGTCTAAAATATAAAGGATTATTCATGAGTAACAGGAAAGCAGGTGATTATGTACATAATTTGAAATCATCTTCATTGAATGAACTGAGGCTCATTCCTAGAATGAAACTTCTTTGCTACTGGATATTCCACAAAGTGGTATTTGTATTATAAGGTAAGTGGAAGTGAGTGGGGACTAAGGCGATGGAATGACTTCCACCTTTTCTGGTAACAGTCTTCAAATATCTAGCCAAAATTACACCAAAAAGTTAATGGGTGCATAAACTGGTGATTAATGTGCAACTAGCTAAGAAACATCTATGCAAAGAATGCATGATTTTACTTTATATGAAAAATAACAAATTTACAACTTGTTCAACTAACTGTTTTGTTACATGACCAATCCATTCTGGGAGGCCAAAGGGAGTTTTAAATGGACAATTAAAGAACATGTTATAGATATTCATACCCAGGATGACTGGGTATGAATATGAATACTCAGTATTTACATTCATATTACAAATCAGAAATTTCCTCTGAATGGAGAAAATGACCGTGAAAGTCAACAACAGAGAAAATTAAACAGGAGGCTCACGTCAGAAAAACCTAATAAGTAAACATTTTATTGACCTAAAACATGCACGTATGGCTGATTTAAAAAAAAAAAAAAAAAAAAAGAATCTGTTGAAATGCAACAAAAAGGGAATGTTGCAATGTACGGAACAACATACATGGCGAAATTTTGCAAAATCCCTTCTTTTTCACTCAGTTCTTTGAACGGGGACATCGTGCTGACGAACACGTTGCCCATCAGTGTGGTAGTGCTTGGACTCGAGTGTGAAAATACGGCTGGAGATTCTCCTGCTGAAATAATACCCATCAACTTCCGGGACTGGACCTTCACAAAGTGCATCAACGGTTTTCCATAAATGTACACGCTACCTGATGAGGCGCTGCTTATATCAGACACTTTCAAAGAAACTCTTTAAAAAGGCGAGTATAGCTTGTCTTTTTTTTTTTTTCCTTCAACATCCAACTGTATGCAGTGACTCGCAGCACAAAAAGCTTTGATGATTCTGCCGTGGAAGCCAAGTGGACGTCTGTGGAAATGAAAAGGACTCACTGCATATACGATACAAAAACGGTTACGATATCTTGTATAAAAGATAAGTTTATACATATGTATGCACACATGCTCACATTTGATACATCCTGTACAGTTTTGTATGTGTGCACAGCTCTACTCTACCACACAAACACGCACATACAAGAGTCTATTTGGCTGCATGTCTCAGTCTTTCCATCTGAAAGATAACGGCGATCCGCCTCCTGCCTGTCCGGAGGGATGAAAGCTCGGGCCTCTGTCGGCTACTTGGAGAAATAAAAACGGGGAGCAGCTTAAATATCACTGTCCTCCCCTACCGCCACGTGGGGGTTAAGTCGTTGGAGGCGCGCCGCTTTTGTCGCCGCCCCGTGCCTCCTCTTTGCTGGCCCCGGAGCTTGTGCCGTTGACGGTCACCTTCCGGCTGCTGGAGCCCTGTTTGGAGGACAGCGCGTGTCGCTGAGTGTTGTTGGGCACCGCGGTGCCATTGGGGCTTTGGATGGCGGGGGAAGCGTTGTGGGAAGCGACGCTCGTCTGGGAGGGGGCTCTGGGCGGCTGGACTGCAGCAGGACTGTGGAGTTTGTCGCTCTGAGAGTCGCTCTCCGACGTCGGGCTGGTGTTGACGCCGTCAGAGTTGCCCTGGGCGGTGGACTGCAAAGGCCTCCTGCGTTTCCGGGTGGGTTTGACCAGGTACTGCAAGGGGATGGGTCCGGTCTGTGTGGAATTACACGAGAGCACACAATTTGATGCTGAGGAGACCATCACGTTTCTTAAAGGTAATCTGAATAATCTGAATTAAAGGGGGAGTATTATGCGTTTTCTAGGCACATGGTGCCATTTTACAGCACAATCAAGTCAATCAATGAATCAAGTTTTATTTGTATAGCACATTTCAGCAGCAAGGCATTTCAAAGTGCTTTACGTCATTAAACACAAAAACACAGAGTCATGCAACATTGAATCAACAATCAAAAACATTAAATTTCCTGCAGAGTTGAAGTTCTGCCCTTATGGGTACCTCATCAAAACAAAAAACAAAAAAGAAAGGGGGGGACTCCAACCCGGACCCCTTTTCACTCTGTTACCTTCAGTTGTTATAGAAATGCTAAATATTTCAAATATGACTTTGAATAATTTTTTTTACTTTAACACCATGAAATTGGGCCTCTTGCTTTAAAAACCTCCTGCTCTTTCTGAACTCTGCTTTCAGATAGTTAAGCACCTTATGGGGTACCTCATACAGTGAGAGATTTAAATTTTTTGCCCATTTTCCATGCTTTAATTAAATGCAGGTGTGGACTGGGCCATTCAAACATAAAAACAAATCTTTGAGCTGAACAACACCCCCTGCTGGAGAGCGACGGGTACTTAAATCCAAAGTCTTTGCAGCCTCCAACAGGTTCTCTTCTGAATGTAGCTTCAATTATGTTCCTCTAAATTTTGACCACTTTCCCCTGCTTGTAGCAAAAACAACCCAAAAATTTCTTCTGACTTTCAACATTTTAATTCTTTATTCTACTTTCCAAAGGTCATATATCTAACCCTCTCCAACAACTCAAATACTGTTTTCTCTTCTTTTTTTTTTTTTTTAAATTAACCCTCCTTTTGATTTCTCTTCAACTTTCTCCCTGATCCGTCTGCAGTGTTCCTCGGCCTTTGTGATGCTGTTTGTTCACTAATGTTCTCAAGCAAACCTCTAAGGACTTTACAGAAAAGATGTTGTTATTCAATAACACACAGGCTGAATTTGTTCATTAATTAGGTGGCTTTTGAAGTCTGGTGACCTTTCAGATAGATAATAAAAGCTTAGCAGCCCTGCTTCATTTTCCTTTCACAACACTTTTTGAGTTGGACTATAAGAAGAGCACACTGAGGTGCATGACTGCAACACAAGAAAACGTAAAAAATTAAATAAAATGTGAATTACTACGCTGGTAATACTTTGCAAGGAAAGAGCTCGTTTCAAATTCGGGAGCATTCCTCAGATATTTCTTAAAAGGTACAGAATCCGTCACTTACTCTTCTCCACTCGTAGAAGTAGGCGATATCCATTAGTGTGTAATAGTCCTTCAATGGTTCATCTCCATACAGCACCTCCACCTGCCAGACACAGAAAGACAATCAACAAGGTCACAATCATGACATACCGACATTAACGGTCACCAAGCCCCAATATACTGGATCATACCGCTGCAACCAAAAAAAAAAAAAAAAAAAGGGATTCCAACAAATTTTCCATTTCAAAGCACTGTACTTTTCCAGACTCTTGTTTCTTTTTTTTTAAGCAGTTTTTGTGCAACATTCTAGAAATTCCAGTAGAAAGCATTTACAGAGTTCAGTGTCAGCCATTTGCTCCTTAAATAATAAAAATAAGAAGATGCTGAAGTCGTCTTCCTATCAAGCACTGTGGTAAAAGGTTTTGTGCTCCATGGAACCTGAACCAACTTAAGTCGTGCCATGGAAACAGACCCAGATAGGAGGCTTCCAATTCTTAACTAAATTAGAAGTCACTTCAAAGAACCAGAAATCCAGGCCTGATCCTACAGTCACTCACCCCCTCTGAGCCTCTGCTGGTCATAAAGTTGTGCTAAATAAAGTACCTGTAGGCGTTAAAATCAAGTTGTAAGGCTGAAAATATATATTCATATTTGTTTCATGTTGAAAATGCTTACAAAAATGTAATTGAGTCAAATAAAAAGGTTAATTTCCAAAATAAAATGTATGAAATATTTCTTACTGTACTCAAAATATACTGATTAAATACAACTACTTCCCTTTTCTCCTTAAGAAATAAGTTTATGCATCTTTGAGTCTGTTTCAGTCAGACAGGTTCACATACAGGTGTAGAACAGCTCAATCTGGTCACACTTTGCTGCGACTTAATCAGGATTCGGTCGGCCATCTGCCCAAACTATACTCACCGGATGATCTCGCCAAATCTGACACACATGCATACCATCGTACTGCAGTCGGTAATATAATCGGTGTACTATACACAACTCTCGAAGTAGAAACGTGAGCTGATTATTTGAAGATCAGCAGCAGCATTTAAATATTGAGGTAACATCTTAAGACATCAGCCAGGAGGTTAAAGTCCTCCAAATGGACAATAAGCTGAAGCATTCTGTCAAACAAAAGAAATTCTCACTGAGACAACACTCTGCCCAGTGTCGCTCTATAAAGAGCAAAATGGCAAAAAGGAATAATTAATAAATATTTTCCACAGTAAACTTATTTAGGTTCCTGGTAAATTTAGAGGCATTTCAGATATTCTACATTTTACACATTAATAGTTCAAAAATAAATAAAAAAACAACAACAAATAAACCGTTTTAAAACAATTGAATTATTACTGTTAATTGTTTTTTTGCTGTTCTGTTTAACTTCATAGCAATCAGATCAAGTTTGAAATGATAGGTGCACAATATACCTTGTTCATGTGGGTGATTGTATATTTCTATCATGTTCGAAATAAATAAATGACAACATCACGAATAGTCTATCCAGAGACTAGGTCAAAATATCAAATGTATTATTTTCATCTCAACAATTAGTTTTTATTGAGCAAGTTGCTTCTGGCCGACATCATACATTTTGACAATGAAACAACTCAGTCCGTCATCAACTTTGCCGTCTAAAATATCCTTATGAACTGAACTGTGAATACAGCGACACTGCGCTGATAAATTTACAATATTTTGTGCAGTCCTATTACTATTACTTTTACATTTTATATGCAAATGCCAGGGAACCAGATGCTACAACACTGAGAATTTTCTACTGAGCGATACCTGAACACAGTTTTGAAAGAAAAAAAAAAAAATCATTAAAAACATATTGGTCAATTCCTTTATATGCTAAGGATTGCAACTAGCCACTGTACAGTGGATATCCACTCTGAACAATGGCAGCAGCCATCTCTGTAGCATAGCAACTGGGGAAAATGCTGCAAATTTGCAAGTGCTACAAAAAAAAAAAAACAAAAAAAAAAAAAACAGAGGGAGCCACTAACCCCTTCTTAGATTCTGCAGAGTCTAAACAGCACAGGTTACTGCGTGTGTGAGTCCAGTTACCCGGTAGTTGTTTGGTATATCCATCTTGCTCCGGAGGAACTTCGCTAAGTGCATGACAGACATAGCTGCTGGGCACTGCAAGAAGCGTTTCCCATTGGACTGGGAACAAAGAACGGCGCAGAGGAAGAGCATTAATCGGATGAGGGACAGAAAATGGAATTAAGATGGCCGAATGTGTGGCGGCAGCTATCTGTACCTTGTCTCCTTCCATCTCCGTTCGCTGCCTTTCACTGCTTCTGCAGGTAAATACAAAACAGGATTTTTACAAAAAGAAATAGTTGAACAGCTGCAGAGGTCCTACACGCTTTAATTTTCATGAATCGAGGCTCCCCCAGGCTCGTCCAGAAAGTTTTCTAATCTTCCTGTAAACCTCCGACTCACCGGTTCCTCTCGTAGAACTGTATGGACAGACTGATTATTTCATCTTCTGCGATGTTAAACGTTTCTACCACTTCGCCCGGTTCCAGCTCCCGGTTCTCTGCGTAGAAGTCTCGCCTCCTTTTCATCTCGTCTAGGTTTCGGAATAGAAACACACCTCTATCATGAAGCTGAACAAAACGTACAAGAACCAGCAGCTGGCCTGAGGTTGGACAATTTTACCTTTGAAGAGTCCCGGAACCAGCTTATAAACTATATCTTGCAGAGTTTTGTCCGCTCTGAAAAAAAAAAAAAAAAGGTTTAATCGGATAACGC